GAACACTGATGAAGATGGCTCTAACGGTACAGAGGGACAGGGAAGGCTCAGGGGGGCCCTGTCCCCGCTGGAGCCCAAGGTCCCCTCAGGCCAGGCACTGCTTCTTGGGCAGTGTTCCTCTTTGCTCTGACCTCCACAAGCATCGCCAAGCACCCACTGCTGGCCAGATCCAGACAGGAGGCAGAAAATGTGGGGCCTATATCGGACGAGGTGGAGCAGTTCAGGGAGCCAGGGAGGAGCAGCCGCAGGGGCGCGGGGGCAGGAGTTCCTAGCTGCCTTTCTGTGCTCCCATGTCCTCATCTCTAAAACACTCGCACTGCTCTCAGGGTGGCTGTGGGGTTCAGGTAAACACGCGGCAGAGTGCAAGGCCCAGAGAGAGATCGGGCTGAGTGTCAACTCAGATTGGGCTCCCTGGCCTGCAGCTCAGGCCCTGCGGCTCTCCTGGTCGTGGTGGGACCCCTGGAATGGGCTGGCTGTGAGTTCTGCTGATGTCGTGCCCACAGGAGGAATATCACAGCCAGAACTGCTGCTGGGCCTGCAGAGCCGTGTCCCTCAGGCCTGTTCTGCTCCTAACTTGGGGCCCTGGACTTGGGAGTCCATGGGGCTGGGACCTTGGCCCAGGCTTTGCACCCTGGCTATGTGGCCTCTCTTCTCAGGGCCTCAGCGTCTTCATCTGTGAAGTGGGGACAGCTGCCTCCCAGGGCTGTGGGGTCACTCACTGGAGAGCTGCCCGGAAAGTCCCTTGCAAACTACAGAGGTGAGGCCGGAGAGCTGGGGCAGAGGGAATGGGCTGAAGATACACCCCCAAGGCTGCCTGAGGGACAGTGGGTGCCCACAGCCGGGGCAGCCAGTGGAGCTTCCATGAGGGGGGTGGGGTTCATCCCACACCCTCAGGACTGGTTTCAGAGGAGGCTCGTGGTCCTGGGGCTCAGCCAGTGAAGAGGGCAGGAGTGGGCTCTGCCCTAACAGAGGGTTCCTTCAGCCCAAGCAGAACCATCTGTTTTAGGCAGAATAATGCCCCCTTAAAATGCCCACATCCTAATCCCCAGAAACTGTGACCCCACCTGGCAGCAGGGACTCTGCAGATGTGCAAGGACCACGAGATGGGAAATTATCCTGGATTATCTGGAGGGGCCCAACGTGATCACGGGGGTCCTTGAGAGTAACCGAGGGAGGTGGCAGAGGTGGGTCAGAAACAGCGGTGAGGACTGGGGTGGGTCAGGCTGCTGGCTCTGAAGGTGGAGGAGGGGCCGCGGGACAAGGAACGTGGGCAACTCTAGAAGCTGGAAAGGCAAGGAAGGGGATTCGCCCCTGGGGCCTCCAGAAGGAAGCAGCCCTGCTGACATCTTGAATTTAGCCCAGTGAGACCCAGGTCAAATGTCTGACCTACAGAAGATAATAAACCTGCATTGTCTTAAGCAACTGAGATTGCGGGAATCTGTTGGCAGCGGCAAGTGGAGCGGAATACTGCACCTATCCTAAGCATGCTCCAGGGAGACGGGCTTGACTGAGGACCTGGAGCTGACCAGTGTGGCGCACCGCACCCCAACAACCTTGCCACAAGCAGCGTCCCGGGGGCCTGAGGTAAGCTCCCATGATGCACCCTTTGCTGGGTACCCAGATGTTTCATGAAAGTCTCCTAGATAATTGAAATTTATCACTTTAACCTGCAAATCCAACAATTTTAACTGATTGAAATGAGAGTCTACAATTGGTCCCACATTTTGGGGCCTCTTTAAAGTAAACATAGTTACTCTGTTCTTCACCAGTGCTCAGGGACTGGGGTGATTATGACAAAGAACAACTGCCGGGCGCAGCTGAGAATCCAGTGGCCCAGGCCGCCGTGCTGGAGGTATTCTCTCTCTCCGGCCACACTCTAGACTTACAACAACTGCGCCTCCCACTGAGGGCACCCCCCTCCCTCACTGGAGCCAGAATCCCGGCTCGGTCCTGCCCAGCTGCATGGCTGGAGCCCTTAGCCCCTCTGAGCCGCAGTGTCCTCCCCTCCGTGGTTTCTAAGAGATGGTCACTTTGGCTTGAAGCTTCCGCCAGGGGACGGGGGTCTGAGCATCTAGCCGCTCTCATGGGAAGCTGGCCAGTGCTGCAGTCAAGGGTACAGACTCTGGAGCCACGTGGTCCAGGATCTGACCTCACCGTGAAACTCCTCGGTGTCTCACTTTTCTCATCTATCACTGGCTCCTTCTGCCTGTGCCTGTCCTACCCTTCTCCCCTCCCAGAACCCCAAAAGGGGCTCAGGCTGCCCACAGGCCCAGGATCTACTGGGACGAACTGCCTGTGATCTCTCCCACAGGTCAGCAATCCTGGCAGCGTGAACAGATGAGGATGACCCAGTTCTGAGCCCCTCACCATCTGGGCTGCTCTCCCCACGTAGCGACTGGCTCTGAACGTGATGCCCCGGTGCGCCTGACCAGCATGGGGCAGGACGGGAACGGTCACCTCCCTTACTCTCCATACCTTACCTCCATTAATACAGCATGGGGCAGGATGGGAACGGTCACCTCCCTTACCTTCCACACCGTGCCTCTATTAATACAACGTGGGGGCAGCCACACCTCATCAGGAGCTACTGGTTAGGGCCTGAAGTCCAGCAGGATCCTGTGTCTTTACCCCACAGTCTGTTCTTAGAGGAGATGGTGCTAAGAGTGATGAGCTTGTGAGAGAGGGGCTCACTTGTGCTCTAGACTTGAGGCCCCCACACTGACCCTCCTCAGAAGCCCGAGTCTGGTTCCTAGTTCAGGGGTGAGGCCTTGGCTATTGGCTCTCCCTTTGCTTTGTGTTGGAGGAAACTGGAGGAGAAGTCTTTTCTGTCTGGGGCAGGACACGCTCTAAGGGGTGGCACGGGAGGATTCTGATCATCACAGAGGTGGGGGTGCAGGGGAGGGTCCCCACCCAGATGCCTGGCACAGAGATCTGCTTGATCTGTTCCTTCAGTCAGTCTTCCAAACCCAGGCTGAGGCTACCTGCATTCTCAGGGCCTCCGTCCTCACCTCCTGACCCCGCACCAGGGTCTGGTTCTGGGCCTTTATCCACTGACTCCCATTTTTGAATGCAAGCACAGAGGCCCTCCTCCCCACCCTGCACTACCCATTTACAGGATGCCAACCCAGCGCAGCCCTCTTCCACCACCCATCCTCTTGCTGGGAAGGTTGCGGGGCACCTGAGGGGCCCCAGCTCCTGGTCCTGCCTGGCTGTGGAGCTCTGGCCTCAGAAGGTACTGCCTGCTTCTCCTAGTAAGTAAGACCGAGGGCCCTGGGCCCCCTGAGACCTGAGAGTGGCCTCAGAACAGTGACATCTCTGGGGCTCCCTCCACCTGCCCCCAGCCACCCTTCCAGAAAGTTCATAGCACTGACTCATGCCTGCCTGGACGGCAGTGGTCATACCTGTTGGCTGTGGCTGAGGCTGGAGGCTCAAAGCCAACCCAATCTGCCATCTCCGGCTCTTCCCAGGCCAACCTGGATTGTCCAAGTCAACAAGACAGACCCGTCCAGAGAATTTGCAGAGAACTAGCTTCCAGCCTGAGCTTGCCCTGTCTGCCTGTGTGACCAGAGGTCAATGCTCTGACCTCTCTGGTCCTTACTCTTTTCACCTGAGAAAGAGGGCTGCACCTGTCCTGTCCAGCATGGACTTAGGGTTCATAGAGCACCATCAGCCAGACCCATGAGCGCCTCGAAGCCCCTAAGGAGTGAGCAGGCCTGAAGCCTTCTCAGCAGCACACAAGGCCATATCCCCTGTGGCCCCCAGACCTCCCTCCTGCTTCCTCTCTAGATGCCTGGGTCCCCCTGAGGTCCACAAGGGGGCCATGAAACAAAGCCACCTCTCTGGGACCTTCAGGCTCTGACCTTCACATGGCCCTGCAACCCTGATGCTTGAGACAGCCCACACGGTCAGGACTTCTGCGTAGAGCTCAGCCCTGCAGGGTAGTGTGTGACCTTGGGCAAGCCAGGGCACCCCAGCGAACCTTAGTCTCTTCTTCAGAGAAATGGAGACTGCAATCCCTGACTCCATCACTGCAAACACTGGTGTGAGCTATCTGAGAGCCATTAAGAAGGTCGTGACAACCCTAGGCGACCACAGCTATGCTCAGGAGGTCCTGGGCAGCTGGCGAAGCCCGGAGGCCAGCAGAACAGCAGAACTGACTGACAGAGAAGAACGAGTAGATGAGGAAGTCTGCTTTCCACTGTGCACACACTGAGCTCTGTCCAAGAGCAGTGATATTTCCTCTTCCTTCTCTTTCCCAAGACACCCTAAGCAGCAGGTGGCTTTTTCCCTGAGAGGTCCTGGAGGTCCTGGCTGGTAGGTTCCCTCCCAGGAGAGGAGATGGGTAAGGACTCTTCTGCCCAGACCCGTCTACTCAAATGCCCTCTTTTGCGGCTGAGTCTCAGTGCTGCTTTGCTGACCCTGGGAATCCTAACTGTGTACGTGGGTGTTTACGCAAGTGGGGGAGCTTTATGGCACAGGTCTCCTTACACGCACAGGCCAGTGGATGCTAGCCCTGGGTTCTTTGCTACAAACATACAAACAAAGAACAAACGTGTTTGATGGTGGGTAAAAACTTTAAAAAGGAAAAAGTGAGTTCACACCTGGAGTGGAGCCCCCCGCACTCACACGACACGCGGGACTGCACACACGTGGGCACACCCCACAACACAGACATATGCCCCCACACACACACGTCACACGCACACACAGCACACACACACCCATGTCCACATGCCAGTGCACACCCGAGACACACTTGCACACACACGCACACATGCACACAGGCGCACATACACACGCGCACACACATGCACGCATACGCGAACACACGCACGCACACACATGTGCACACACACGTGCACACACACACGTGCACACACACGTGTACACACACGTACACACACGTGCGCACACACACGTGTACACACACGTGCACACACACACACGTGTACACACACACACGTGCAAGTACGACAAAGGAAGTGGAAGAAAAGTGTTACCCATGAGTAGCCGCCGTTTCACCCGCTTGTCCACATCAGCTACTGACGTGGCATTGAACTGAGAGCGCTCAATTGCAGCCTCATCCTTCTCTAAAACACAAGTAAGGGACAAACACGGAGCCAGTGGTTAATGACAGCCCACTTCCCGCGGCCCAAGACAGTCAGCCTCTCGGCGTGGTGCACGCAAAGCCAACACCGCATGCCGGCCAGCTCGGCAGCCTCGCCGAGGGGCTAATCCCAGGAACCTCCAAGGTCGGGGTGTTCAGGGCAAAGCAGAGAGGCAGCGAGGGCGGGGGCGGGGGGACGTGCAGGAAAGGAGGAATGACCACAAAGTGACCTGGGACACAGAGGGGACTCAGGGCCCATGGGCAAGCAGACAGAGGAGGAGGCTGAGGTCAGGGCAGACAGGACCTGTCTGCAGAGAGCCACAGAAGCAGAGAAGCACCACCATGGTGCTTTATGGTGCTTTACGGAGACACAAGTGATTACAGACCCCCGTGGCTCAGGCTGGAGAGGCAGGCACAGGACAAGGCACAGGACAAGGGGACAGGGCCACAAGGTCCGGTGATGGATGCACTGAGACAGCAGAGGCTCTGTCACAGGGATGTGAAGGGGTGTCAACACTCATGCAAAATTAAGAACAAAACATAGGAGATACACACACACACACACACACACACACAATGGATCCAATAGAATAGACAGAAAAACCACGGGATCGATTTGGGCAGCGCTGGTTGCCTGCTTGTCTATAGAGGACTAGGGCTAAACATTCAAGTGCTCAACAAGGGGATGCAAAGAGGGATCGCTTATTTTAGGAGCATGCAGGGGACAAGCGGCCCCGAGTGGGCCAGGGAGCATCCTGGCTATGCCAAGAGGCTTCCTGTGGAGGGGCAGGTGAGGTTAGCTGGGTTGATTTTCTTTGCTCAGAGGGAAATGCGTGGAGACATTCGTTCCCAAGGGGGACACGGATGAACAGTGGGCGAAGGCAGGTGAAGGCATCTCTTCCTGGCCAGGAGTGGAAGTAGCAGCAGCAGGGGCCGGGTAAGGAAGGTGGTTTCTAACGAGAGGGGAGGGAAGGTGGGGCTGGGGAAGTTACTTTAGAAAGGAGATCCAAGCAGGGGCCTTCACATGCAGTAGACATCGAAAAATAAAAAAGGAAGAAAGGATGATTCGGTGGACGAGACAAGATGTGTTAGACAAAGGCTGGGTGTGTCTGGCCCGGCAGCTCTTTGCACTGCCCCTGTGGCCGCAGAGTCGGCTCCAGCAGAGGTAGCAAACCCTGCGGGAGACCTCGAGCAGACGAGACAGGAGGGAGGCTGGGTGGCCTGGGAGAGTCCCAGGCCGGACAGTGGAGGGAGAGAGGCAGGAGGAGAGGAGGTTCTAGATGGGATCAGGCTGCAATAGAGACACTGGTTTGAGACCGGGTTTGGCTTTTAATTCTTTTTCAATTGGTTGGTTGGTTTGGTTTGGCTTTTGGCTCTGAAAATAATTAATGAACGTCAGTTATCAGACAAGACAGGCAATCAGGGACCATCACCAGAAAAGCAAGATAAATGAGATAAAAATGAAATATAAAATGGTTGTCTGAAAGAAGAGGCCACACAGAGGAAGGGAGAGCCACCGCAGGCAGCAGAACCCGTGATGACAGCCCCGGACTACAGAGGTGACAGCCTGGCACCCGCCCAGGCCCTGCTCCCTGAGACCCAAGGGAGTAGCGTCCTGGGGGACAGGGCGGGGGGGCACACCCTGGCCTCATGGGCTTCTGTCTGCCGACCAATCCTTTCCTGTCCCCTGAGTCTCCCTCAAGAAGTATCTTCCAGATTGACAATAAGAAATGGGGCCTAAAAAAATAACTGACTTGTGTTGGGTTTCTAAAGTTTGCCAGCACAGGGAGGGTTGAACTCTGGCACCAACTTTGAAACTCCACCCTTTCTCAGTTAAAAAATTTGCTGTTATTTTTAAATGGGAGAAAAAAACCTACTAGTGATTATGGCATGAAATAATCACAAATATTCAAGCTTCCTCTTGGAAATAGGGACCAGGAGGAAGGAGGTGACGGAGACTCAGATCAAGACTCCATGTGACAGGTGAGAGACGGGCTGGGGCAGCGGCGGGAAGAGCGGACTTCAGGTTGGGGAGAAAGGCCAGCAGGGGCCCGGCAGCTCGGAGAGACCAGCAGTGAAAACGCCACACCCACGCAGGGCCCACACTGTCCACCTCCCCTGGAGTTTAGTCAGTGACCACTGAAAGCAGAGTTCTGAGGAAACCTCTCGGTTTTCCAGACGGCCGTGGGCAGCTCCCATGACTAACGTGGCTGTGTGCAGTTACCTGAATCTGGCTGTTTTCCGTACCAGGGGAGGAAACACCTGGGTTTCTGAACAGAAGGTCTTAGGTGTGTACACCTCCCTTCTCCCCACACACCCACACCCCCTGCCTGGGGCCACCCCTCACTTCCAGGACGAGGACGTGCGGAACCCCCGCTGCTAGGGAACCCACATCAGGCGTCGCCAGGGAACACGAAGCAGAAGAGCCTAGTCCTGGGGGCTGCGGGCCCAGAGAAGCCTCCCCAGAAAGCTTCCCCAGGGGGGCCGGCCATCCCCACCATTGCCATGGGCTTGCCTTTCCTTATTTCCCTGGAGCTTCCTTCCAGGGAACCCGGATGTGGCAGGGTGCTGGCCCTGCTGGTGCACGCATGGGGGGTGGGGGCGGGGGGTGCAAGGGTGGCGTGCGGCAGAGATGCCTACTTACCGATGCACGTGCGACCGTCTGAGTGGAGGGCGTACTTCTGGTGGCAGCCACACATGGGGCCTGTGTCTGTGTCCTCACAGCTGTGCTGGCAGCCTCCGTTTCCATAGTTACAGGTTACTAGTTAGGCCCAAAGTGTACACACGTGTGTATAAACAGAACAACAAAAACGATTAGTTTGTCGGTGTTGGCTGCTTCCTTCAGGGTTTGGGGAAACTGAGGCCTAAGAGCATCAGTGGGTAGGGTCATGAGGCTCGCCGGGCAACGGGTGCGCGTTTCCCTGCACTTCAGCCCCTCCAGGGACCAGGCCTGGAGTCACTCACTGCCTAGAGCTGAACTGGGGTGGGACAGAATGGACTTGGGGTTGTCTAGGCTTTGATCAGAGCAGGCACAGAGCTGATGCGCTCAGATGGCGGTAGATGAAGACAGCTTCATCCTTCCCAGGCTGCAGGACCCTTTACAGCCGCCTGTCTCGATGGGGCAAATGTTTGTCAATGCCAGGACGTACTTGTCAAGCTGTCGGGGGAGCGACATGGCGGCCCATGGTTCCAGGTGACGCTCATTTCCTTAGTTCTGGCAGAGCTTTCCTTCCTCTGTCTGTCTTGGGGCGTGTGGATGTCTCCACGGACGTCCCCTCTCAGAGTCCCAGGGGCCATCTCAAACTCTATCCCCTCAAAGCCCTAATCCTCCGGGAGCTCGGCAATGTCCGAACAGACAGACTCATGCAAATTAATGTCATCTAAGGTACCGTTTTGAAAATCACCTAAATAATAACCACGTTCCACTGTTTTCAATGGCTGTGGCCTGGAGGATCTGGTGCCTTTCAGCCCAGAATCTCAACATGTTTCACATCAGCAATCTGGGTTGGCTGAAAAGGGGGCAGAACAAAAAGGAGTCTAAAGTAGATAAAACTACAAATTCAAGTTTATTTACACACATGGTCTGTCTCCAGGGTGAGAGGGATCTCTAGAGGGGAGCAAGGTGACCCAGGTGCTCCCCAGGGGGTGTAGGGCCCCTGCCTGGTGATGCTGGCGAGACAGCTGCACGCCCATCCCCTGAACGCAAATGTGCACGAGGACCTCAGTATGGGGCGTGTTCTTGGATACTTTAACCATCTGTCCAGAATTCAAGCTACACTCTAATTTATTATGCAAAACCCTAGTGATCAAATATGCAAAAATAAATCCCAGACCAAGTATGATTAGAGGGGGCAAAAACCCCAAATCCTGAGAGTTTGAATAAATTCTGTTCTATTAGGTTGACCCCTGAGCACAGCTGGTACCAGAGGGAGGTCAGTTGGTGGCAACTCCCAGAGAAGGATCTCAAACATTTCAGAACTGACTTCTCAGCTCATCTCCTTCACAGAGACCGACGCAGGGCCTTCCTGCCCACCTGTCCTGAGTGACGGGATGCCTCAACCTTGGACACGTGCCGTCTCCACAGCGGGTGAGGAGGATGTCAAGAAAATGGCTTGGTATGGGGACAGGTGTCTGCTCAGTGCCTCAGATGCTGTCCTCTGTAACCAGAGGCTCTAAGTGGCTGCTCCTCCTTCCATAGGGAGCTGAGGACCATCCAGAGGAGGGAGCTGACTTCTGGGGGGAAATTTCAGGGACCTGAAAAATGCTTCCAGAAACACAACTGGGCTTCCAGCATGAAACCCTCCAGCCCCTTCTCCTCAGGAGTGACTCTTCTCCGGGGTGGAGCTGACACCCTGGATGAGGGCTCAACTTTCATCTCTCAACGGCTTGTCTCAACGGCCAGGAAGGAACGCAGGGAAGCCAGCGATTCCGGGAGGCTGCAGCTCCGCGCAGATCTCAGGCGATGGGGAGAGATCCAGGTGGAGCCCATTTCGGGCTGGACGTCGTGTGCCTTTCTAGGACCCAGGAGATTCCTGTTTCAGAGTGGGCAGGGGTGCAGCTGGGGAGAAGGCTGTTCTTTTTGAGCTCCAGGCTCCTGGAGACAGGCTGTTCCCCAAAAGTGACTCTAATGAGGATGGAGGCCTGTCTGAGGCAACTCGAGGGGGATGCAGGCTCCGGGGCCCTTGTTCCCTCCACATAGTCATCTGTGCATCTCACAGACCCCCAAGGGTCAAGCCTTCAAGTACTGGAGAGTCTATGGCTTATACACAGAGATGTCTGAGCTCAAGCTCTGGTGAGACGGACAGAAGGATGGAGAAAAGCTCCTCTGGCCCTGGTCCTGGAGTGGGTCCTGGGCTCTGGATGGATGACAGCTTGGTTCAGAGCCCTGCAGTCCTCTGGAGCCACGGAGGCTGGTTGGTTAAGCCAGGCCTCAGCCCCCAACCCAGCTTGAGATCTGGAATTTCCTGGAATGCAAGTGACTTCAAGGACTAGAGCGAATGCCTCAGAGCTAACTTTACACCAGCCTTGCCTCACGAACCTCAGAGAAGCAGCCAAAGCTGGGCTGGCTGGGCAGCCGCCTATGCAGGCCCTTCACGGGAGGCCTCAGGTCCCGGAAGTCACATCAGGCTCTCCATACCTTGGTGATATTCAGCCGCCCACGGAGAGGGTGGGACTGCTGTTTCTCAAGCCAGCACATATTCCCCTTCCCTGGCGGGGGCAGCTGGGGTGAGGGTTGTGGGGGGCGTCCTAGCTGCTCACAGGGCCCTGCCTAGTCCCTGACCTCTCACACCAGGCTGGCGCTCAGAAGATGCTCTCTGAGCAAACTCCTCCTCCTTGTAGTGCTTGTACTATGGGGTCAGGGAGCAAGCTGGCCCCGGCCAGGATGCCTGCAGCCTCTCCCTGGCACTGGGCTCTCGGCCTGTCTTCTGCCTAAGGGAATGCACTGTCCTTCTGGCCAGGGCTATCCACAAGCCTGCTGACTCCATGCAATTTTGACCTTGGCCTTCCTCGTGAGGAAACTCAGATCACACAACAGGGGGACTGGGAAAGCTGGAGCCAGCATCTTCTGTTCTGAGGTGGCCGGGGGCAGAAGACTTCTCTGCAGCTACAGGAATCCATCTGGTGTGGAGAGGGGGCCTGGCTGGAGCCCTGGGGCTGGAGGCTGGCACTTCCAATTGAGACTGCCCCTTTTGGTCCTGCCCTGCGTGACAGTATACGGGCTTATCTTGGCCATCCCACAGGAAAGAGCCAGGAACACAGAGAAAGGTGGTCTGCCTCTGGGAGCATACCTGGGACAGAAGGAAGCACCTCCACTTTGGAGAATGGATGAATCACATCTGGTGTACGTGGGTCCCCAGGGTCTTGGTGACTGTTCTAGGAGACCATGAGTTGGGAAGGGTGTGGCAAGGCACCCATAGGAGAGCTGATGACAACTAAGAGGATCAATGACTGTGGACGATGGACCAACAAGGGCCAGCTGTCCTCTCCACAGAACGGTGGGTGGAAGAACGGTCATTTTCTTTATGACAGCAGGGCCACCTAGGGTGAGGACCACCTTCTCTGTTGGGAGTTGGAACTGGACACTTCTCCCTAACATTTTTCTGCATTAGAAAATGGGCTTGAAATGAGGCACTTGTCTCTGGCCAGAGATGGAAAGTGCTCCCAGCAGTCTCCTTTGGCTCTTTGTAAAAAAGGGCAAATGTGACATCACTTTGGCTATCCCTGGTGCCCTCATCTTCCACGAGGAGAGGCCCATCCCACCATCTCCCCACGAAGCTGTGGGCAGGATGCTCTGGCTCCCAAGCTTCTGAGTTCAGCCACTGTTCTGCTTGGTTTCCTGGCTCCTACTCCTACTGGGGGACGGGGTGACCGCATTACGAGGCTGGACTACACGTGGGCCCTGTAGGCAGACCACCAAGCAGATCCTGAAATGGTATCTTTGGCCAGAGGCCTCATTCAGCCCAGATCTCCCAGAGTATCACCATCGGCAGGCAGCCTTGCAGGGGTCAGATTGTGAGTTCTGATCTTTAAATTTTATTTTACAGATGCGGTCTTGCTATGTTGTCCAAGCTGGACTCAAAGTCGGGCTAGAGTGATCCTCCGGCTTCTGCCTCCCAAGAAGCTGGGACTAGAGGTGTGCAGAGTTCTGATCTTCGGTCCCGGAAAAATGGTCAGCACAGCCCAGAATGGTGCCACTTCTGAACCACACTCTTTTCCTTCCTTGTACTACTCATACCAGGGGCTTCCCAGGCCCATCGAGAAACCTGGTCCTGCAGACCTCTGTGCCACGGCCCCACTATTCCTGCAGCAGACCTTAGGCTCAGGGGCTGCCATAAGATCCAGCCCAGCTCCTGGGGCTACACTGGTGGTGTCATGCTTGGTGTGGAAAACCCCAAGGCTAGGGTTCACAACCCTTTTCCCTCATGCCCTGTCAGGCCCCTTCCGCAGGCCCTGCCCTTCTCTCCACCCCATGGGGCTGGGGACCCTCCCTGGCCAAAGTCCAGCAGACTGGACAGACCCTCCAGAAAGCAATGGCAGGAGACACATGGGACGTTTGACCCATTTGTCTCCATCTACCTACGTGTGCAGTCCTTCTGGTTTTGGGCAAGGTCAAAGCCGGGCCTGCAGTCGCAGGCCACCCCACCTTTGGGCGTCTCCCGGCAGATGTGGGCACAGCCATGGTCTTTGTTCATGCAGTTCATACCCTCTGGGAAGAGAGACAGACAGAGACGGGTTGGGGACCAGGCAGAGAGCGACAGAGAACATTTCAGGCTGAAAGGGGATAGCCAATGATATGTAACAATCAAACGGGCTGTCATTGCATGTATCATGCACACACACGCACGTGTGCACACACACGTATGCGTGTGTGCAGCAGCCATCTACATGGATATCCCTTAGGGAGAAAGCAAGAGCACGGTGCCTGGGTCTAGATTCAGGCTTTGCTCTGTGGGTTGCACTGTAAATGGTACCTCGTGACCCACAGAGACCAAGCTCTTGCTCTAGGTCAGATTGCGGGGCGTGGTCTGAGGAACTACTTTTGTGTCAGGGTGATCTGCTCCCCTCTCCTGAGCCACCCATGGTTCTAGGGTACCCCCACCCGCCCAGCAGACTGGATCTCCCCTCTCTGTCTGCCTGCAGTGGCTCATACCCCCTTCCGTTGACCTCAGTTGATGTTTATCTTCCTGGTGATTTGTGAGGCGTTTCCAGAATTTATGAGGTCAGGGGTCAAGTGAGAGGTTGTAGGTCACAAGTCCATCAAGAGGCCAAGGCAGATGAAAGGGAAGAGCCTCTGTTTGCCACCCCACTGGCTCTGTGACCTGCCTTCCACTTCCACCCACAGGAAGTTCAGGCAGGAGCTAAGCCGGCTCGGGGAGCGGCAGTGAAGGCTGCGGACGGCGAACACGCACAGGGCGACCTCCTTCCCCCGGGACACACTGGCCTCTTGTTCCAGAGGAGGACTGGCTCAATCCTGACTCCGTCCACTTTAAATACGGGTATGCAGCAACACAGAATAGATTTCAAAACACAAACACCCTGCTAGTTGTAATAAAGATAAAAACGTCTGAAGTTAAAAGTCAAACAAACAAACGGAAACGAGGAAGCCTGCATTTTGCCCAGCACGGTGACTCCTGGTTTCACCTAATTTTGTGACTCATATTTCCTCACCTCGAGTTTCTCACTAATCAATCCAATCGTTGGAATGACGTAGAGTCTAACTAAGCAACGAGTGAACAACGGAAAGCACTGTCATGCTGCTGCCCCGCAGAGAAGCTGCGAGTTCACACGGAAACACCCTTTCCGCCGGCTCGATTCCAAAAGAGCATCAGCGCCTGAGTCGCACAGATAGTGGCGTGCGGTCAACGCTTAACAGCCAGCGGGGGTGGAGGCTGATCTGCAGTATTTACCAATGTATGTGGGATAAAGACGCCAGCCATGGCTCATTTCAAAGTACCAGGGAGATGTCGCCGAGGGTAGAGCTGGGAACAAATGTGCACAGTTAGCTCTCGCAAGCTGAGACCAGCCAGCCATAGCACGTCTCTTTCTTAGAAAGGTCGTTGTAAAGTCAGGCAGATGTAGGTGTGAATCTGGCTTCCTTCCTGGCTGTGGCCTCGGAGACAACTGCTTCGCTTTTCTGAGCCTAATCTTAGAATGGGCACGATCACCTCTGTCTCATGGAGGAGCTGTGCAAATTAAATCCAGTTACAGACAGGAAATGCCAGGCAATAAGAGATGAGGTCTGTCTGTGGGGGCACTGGCTCCTGAGGCCAGTGTCTCTCCTGCAGGTCTGGAGACAGTGTGGCTCCTCCCTGGGACCTGGCTGGACCAGGCGGCCCCTCCTGAGAGGCGGCTCTTGGTAGAGAAACCTTCTCAGACTACTGAGACATGTTTAATCCCTCATCAGGTCTTCTGGGAGCCTCCTGCCCTGGCCAGGGTTTGGCCAGTGGGTGGTGGCCAGCAAGCCATCTCCCTGACCATCACCGACGGCTGTTGTCAGCGGTGGGCTGAGTCCAGCCCCCCTCACTCCCTGTTCATTTGGCTTCCATGGCTCCCTGCTGCTCCAGCTTCTTCCCAGCTGCACACACTCCACGGTTCGCCATCCCACAATGCCTGCTCAGCAGCCCTCGAGGGTGCCCCATCTCCCCTTGCTGCTCCTTCCTCCTGGGCCGGACACCCTCTCCTATCTTCCATAAACTAAATCCTAGGCCTCCCTCAAACTCCACCAGTTCCGCAAAGCCTCCTGGCTCCTGCCTTCTACTCCCCGTGTCTCCCCATGCCACCACCCATGTGACATCCTAGGGCTGTCCTATGGCCGGCACAGGCGATCAATGCTGCGGGCAGATCTGTGCTCTCTTCCTGAGCTGGGAAGAGCCTACGGGCCCTTGTTTGGCTCAGGATTACAGACGATGAAGAAAGGGAGATTGAATTTCCCTTCCCAGCCAAAGAATCACAATTTACAAGAAGCCTTGCTAATCATCACCAACCATACATTTGTCACTGGGGAGCTGATGCGTGCCGGAGCCCCGGGTAATGGAATATTTAACTCTAGAGGTCATTCAGTTTTCTCCCTCATCGTGGACTTGCCATTAAGTGATCTTTCTTCTTAAGACTCCAGAGACTTTAACACTGAGCCAAGATGTTGTTGTTTTCTTGGTGAAGGACACTTTGGGGATGTAATCTCGCATGACTATGGACTGTGGTAACCCACAGTCAATAAGACGCTAAGTAACAGAATCGAAGAGCTGGGAAGGGTGAGCCCCAGGTCCTATCTGTAGTCAGCTGGCCTCAAAGGTCTCTACTTTACCTCTCAACAACTTGGGGAAGCGGGTGGAGCACTTCATCTCCCACCTAAAGACCCTGAGGTGGAGTTGAGGTCCTGTGATTAGCCATCCTCACTCAACACCCCAAGAAAGGCCCCCTGCACGCTGCCTCTCACCCAGCACCCCCAGCATGGGAGCCCCCACCGGCTCCGCAACGGAGGGCAAGGGACAAGCCGGTGATTGTTAGTGGGACTGGCTTCAGGACCTCTTTACATTCCTGACAATTATAAAGGAGGCCAAATCGCTTTGATGGACAGGCTTATGTGTTACAGCTATCAAGACTGGCTAGATATCACAGAGAGAAATTTACATTTACTCATTAGCTTATTTAAAAACAAGACAAAAAACATATTACATGTGGGCTGGGCGTGGTGGCTCACGCCTGTAATCCCAGCACTTTGGGAGGGTGAGGCAGGGGGACCACCTGAGGTCAGGAATTCGAGACTAGCCTGGCCAACATGGTAAAACCCCATCTCTACTAAAAATACAAAAATTAGCCAGGTATAGTGGTGCACGCCTGTAATCCCAGCTACTCAGGAGGCTGAGGCAGAATTGCTTGAACTTAGGAGGCAGAGGCTGCAGTGAGCTGAGATCGCGCCATTGCACTGCAGCCTGGGCGGCAGAGTGAGACCGTCTCAAAAAAAAAAAAAGAAAAAAAGTATTACATGTTAGCACAACCCATATGTTTGTATTGAAAACTATATTTTCCAGAACGGGGTTCCCTGAGATGCAGCAGTCAGGCCTGCGTGAGCCAGGCTCACCTGCTGCGTGGTGAGGCTGCGGTCAGGCTGGAGTCTGCTCAGCTTGAGTGCTTCTGGGGCGCCTCCTCCCCCAGAAGGGTGGTCGGGGGAGCATCACTATCACATTTCAAAATGACCCTACAACCACTGCAAGGATGGCTGCTGCTGCCTGGCCTGGAGGCTGGCTGTGGCTTCCCAGGTGCCCATCAGCGACTGTCAGCTGCATCGCTTTCACCTCCACGCGGGGGCAACACTGGCTTCTGGAGGCCACAAGCAGATAGGCTCTGTGCCTGGAGAACCACAGAGGGTCAGGGTTGGACCCCTGCCTGCAGCCCATCTTGTCTATCCATCCTACAGAGACAGAAAATGAGCCCGTGAGGCGGGAAATGAGTGTTCCAGCACATAGAGCAGGGCTGGAACCTGGGCCACCGGGCTCCCAGCCTAAGCTCTCCTGCCTTGGGGTCACTCGGCTACACCTGTGGCACCCAGACGGCTGACAGGGAGCAGACGTTTCCTAGGTGGAACAGGATTGGGAACGTGGTGCAGAGTGGGCGACTACATGGTGCCTGTTACTGGCCACTGTTTCCAGACTTAGGAGCCCAGCGAAATCCAAGGCCAGTTCAGATGCTACGTCCCCTGAAGCTCTCAGAGCAGCCTCTCCACGAAGCGCACACCCTGGCTCCACTTTTGACCTTCCACAGCCATCACTGGCAGGCCCTGAGGTGAGGACGGAGCCTCAGCTCCCCTGCGGCACAGGATGTCCATTTTCTCAGCTGTGAAATGGGGATGTAATAATCTTTGCCCCTGAGGGTTGCTGGGAAGCTCAAACAAGGTAACGATATCAAGGGAGGCACAGGGAGGGTCTGGGTAGAGCAAGGCTGCTGTGACAGCACTCCTATCTGCCCTTGCTTCATTCTGCCTTGTCGGAAATCGGAATAGTTGCTTCCGTCACACTCTTTCCTGCCAACCGTGGGTAACCGGATGGGGAGACCTGAGCTTTATTATTTTCAGTATCACAAGTACCCAGCACAGGGCCTGGCGGAGGGTTAGGGATCTGCAAACAGTGGGTGAAAGGAAAGGGAAGAATGAGTGGGGAAAGAGAGGGGAGAATGGAGAGAGGAGGGAGCAAGGTAGGAAGAAGAAATAAAGCCCCCTATTTCGGAACAGATGAAGCCTGTTGTCTGTTATTTTAGGAGGCAAGGCTAGAATTTTGAAAACGTTCTTGCGGCATCCCTAGTTGCGTGTGCTAGAAACACAGTGCTTTGGATGCCTGATGTGGGAAATTCGCAGCACAAGTTAAAGGCTCTGAGAAGTCCCACGGTCACTGTGGAACAGTCCCTTCCTCCTCACTTAACACAGCATCCTAGACAGGAAGAGGCCCCAGCACTAGCAGGATCTAAGGATGGCCCATTCTAGTTCCTCACCTGACAGACAAAGCACAGCGACACAGGGACCAGGGTGGCAGGCTGGGGCAGGGATAGGGCACTGGCCCCACCCACTGGAGCACCTGTGGTATCCTCTGTGCCTCCGAACCTCAGAGACAGAACAGGTGGCATGCCCTCCTTGCCCTCTCCCAGAGGGGCCGTCTGAGGGCAGTGAGCTATCGGGAAGGAATGCCAACTCATCCCCTCCTGCAGGTGGTATTT